TTTTTTAAAGGCATCTTTTTTTCTGATGGAATACATTTGGTGACGGCTGATGAATAGATTGGTTAGAATAATGTATTAACAACAGCAAATATAGAAAGAATGGTTTAATTGTTCCAACAATATTGGGTATTTGTGCTTCTCATTCCATACAAAACTATTTTTCATCTTCAGCACTTTTATAGGCAGATGTTGCAATAAGTGTATTACCTTTCTGTTGAAAGCTTGAAGAATTACCAAATGTTTTAAGAAAGTGACTATTTTTAAAAATAGACTAATGCACTTGAATTTCTGTCTTCATCTTGAATGTAATTACCAGGACATTTTGATTGTTGTACATTTTGACTTTCATAAGCTACTGGTTGTAGTTTGGCAATATTTTTAGTAATTTCAAGCCAAGCTCTTTTGATAGCAAACTGTAAATTCCTTGTGCCTTTTCTATATATATTTTCATGATAATTATTTTGATGAGCTCTTTGATATCTTGACTTCATGAATTTAAGTGTAGTACTAGATTGGCAGGGAAGTCTTGTTTTACTGATGAAATTGCTAAATGTAAATTCTATTCTAATAGTTTCTTTTCTCACACTTCTTGCCTGTGGAACTCTCTTCTGGCTTCTTTTTTTCCTGTTAACTATGATCTTCCAAAATTTAAATGTAATTTTGTCATTATCTGTCATTTTAAGTCCTGTCCTTTCTGATTCCTAACATTTTTCAGTTTCTTTCACTCTCAGTAAGCCTTTGTATCTTCATGGGTTTATCACCTTGCTTGGGGTGAAATGATTAGAAAAAAAAAATAAGTGAATGCAACACATACATGAATTTCTGTTTTTTTTTTTAATATATTTATATATAGACCGACATATTTTAGAAAAGTAATATATATATATATATATATATATATATATGTGTGTGTGTGTGTAGTTAGTTGAGGAATATAAAGAAAAAATTAAATATGAATGCAGTAAAATGACAGAGGAAACTATCCATTGTGTTAATGAATTATGCAGGCATAGAATTGAAATGTTTTTTTTTTTTAAAAGAAGGATAACATTTTGAATAGTACATATAACAATTAAATATTAGTAAAAAAAAAAAATTCATATGTAATTAAATCCTTAATCAATTATCCTCTGGGGTGCACAACTTTTGTCTCATCCTGTATAATTATATATATTTGTGGATTCATTAAGCATGATTGGGAGTTTGTGGGTTTGAGGAACATGGCACCACCTCTTAACTGGTGTCATTCCCAGGTTCATCCTGAGCCAGAGTAGTAGCACCTGTTAGGGTTCCAGCTATGGGCAAATAGTGAACGCCACACACTATAAAAATATAAACAATACATATTTATAGTAGAATAACCAACAATACATTTTTAAAGGAGAATTACCAACAATAAATTTGATGGCAAAATGACCAACAATACATATTATCTGTAGTCGAAGCCATAAAACTGTGTTCAAAATATTTAGATTTCAGTATTAAATAACTCAGAGGTTGATATGCTGCTAAACAAAATCAAATCAAACAAAAGGCATTACACAAAGTTTTTCTACTTTGTCATTCAGTTGCCTAACAAATGTCCTGATATATAGAAATTTATATATCATATTCTATTATATTACTTTATTTAATGCCACTTTGCAGGCATTATGAGAAGTCTCAAGACAAACAAGGTGGAGCAATCCCACAATGCAATTTTGCAAATATCTTATTTTTGTTGTCTTTCTCAAAAAATCTTTGTAGGACTTGGGCAACTGTGTTATTAGATTATATTCTGCTGAAAGTTAAGCTTCAGATATCAAAGAAAACCAACAGGTTGTACTGGCAGTCAGTTCATTTAAAGGATGAAGAAGAACAAAATGAAGGACATCTTTCCTGGCTGTCAGTAGGATTTTACTTTTATCTTCTTTTCAGCTACTAATTATTACTTATATAACATCACAGACAGACCTCATATTTTATTTTTTATTTATTTATTTGTTTGGCTTTTATTTTCTCTTTTTGCTTTTCTGTGTCTGTCCCGACTGGGAACAAAATATATGATCACAAGCAGCTTCAGCAATTAAGAACAAAATCACTTTTGGCATTTCAAACAGATTTTACTACTAAATTAGCCGCAGCTGAAATCTACTATTACATAATGAGGAAAACAGGAGAATTTGTTTTGATGGTGAGGGGGACAATGGGCAGTGAGGGGGGCTAGGATGACATACCCCCCAGCCCCAGCCCATATATTCCCTCGTATGCCACTGGCAAATCAGTTTAAAGTTTTGCAATTTGGATGCATTGGATTTTTAAGCATGCATAAATATGTCTTTGAGTGAAACCTGAAGGTTTTTGTAAAGACCGTCCTTCTTTGAACATTGTGGACTGGCACTGCAGAATCACAAACAAAGAACTGTACCAAATAACAGAAACCAAATCACTTGAGGACTACCAACAGCAGTAACAACTGAAATGGGTAGCACAAAGAGAAAATGACAACATAATCAATATCACTACTTCAAACAAAAGTAGAGGAAGGAAATTGTCTTTAAATATTGGAATAAAAGACAATAGCTACTGTACTTGAGAAACCTATTTTCCTGAAAAATTGTTTTAAGAGAAAGATTTTATAAATTTCAACTGAAAACAGTACTGGTTGCTTGTTCAATGAATGCCAAATGTTACATTATATAGAAACAGCTAATATTCTTATTACCATTTACATATGCATTTTATAGGTATGTGTGGCTGTGTGTGTGTGTGTGTGTGTGTGTATGTACTGTGTTTATATATTCATGGGTTTATCTGTTCAGAGATGTTTATATAGATAAAAGTATATCTACATATAACTAGGTATACTCAAATGTTTTAGAATGCTTTGGTCCATATCTATAAACAGACTATGAATAAAGACAAAAAGAAAACTTATCTTATTTGATGCATTTCGTCCTCTGATGGACTTTATCAAGACAAATGTAAGGATTTTATCTTACTTGATATGGTCCATCTGAAGGCCAAATACATCTGCTAAAAGAAGTTTTCCTTTTGTTTTTATCCATACATATATATATTATGTTTCTCATGGTTTGGTATAATTTTTATTATCTCATATTGTACTCAGTGAAATCCTGAGAGCTCAATGTAAATCCAGAGTTAATTATTTTTAAAGACCCTAGAAGGTTTGTTATAATACTTTATTTCACTAATCCCTTTTAAAAGGACACTGGATCATCAGATAGCACTTCAAAAAATGAAATGAAAAAATCGTTTCATTTTTTGGAAGTGCTATCGATGATCCGCCGCCCTTTAAAAGGACTCTGTGAAATAAATTATTATAATGGAACCTTAAAGTGGTCTGTTTTTCTTTAAAATATATATTTCTTTAATATATATATATATATATATATATATATATATATATATATATGGGGTACCTTGACTCTCATTGAAGATCCATTTCTATGGCGTGACATAACCTGATTTTCGATGAAGGTTGGAACTCACCTACATAAGCATTCACGAGTCTGCCTTACACTTGGGAGCCATAATGAAGGGCAAAAACGTCCTAAAAAATACAACACAAATGGGAGAATGTAGCACAATCCAATATGCCGTACAGCTTGTGAAGAAACAACACCATCTTCTTCATATAGCACCACTTGACAATGTTTAATATTTTGAGAGATGGCACCATCAGGAAATATCATAAGTCGGATCAGACATAACCTGAGGACCTTCTATATATAATATATATATATATATATATATATATATAGTTTCTGCTGTCTGAATTTCTGGGATGAGGAATTATCATTATTTACACTATTTGTTTTATATTCCTAAATATTCATGGGCAGTGGGACAAGAACAATTTACTTCCACAACCATTGTAGATTAAATGAATGTTCAGTTCAAAATTTCCTGTAGGTGACCCACATTGACATACACTTGATGAAGGTCAGAGGGCACAATGGCCAAAACATTGTGGTCACAGCAAAGACAATAGTCTGTGTGAAAATAGTGCAAATAATTCATTGAAGTCTTATTTGCAATTTGACTTCAAAAGTCATGTTCCAAATTATTCATCTTCTTGCAGAACAGAAGTGAATGCCTCACACAGTGTATTCAGATTCTTCATATATCTTTTCCTCTTCCATTGCGTTCTGTTAATTCCCTTTAGTTATGAACTGGGATGTTATCACAACTTGTTTATTTTCCTTATCTGTTGATTTTATCCTAATATTTCAACTGGGAGGCCAGAGCTTCTTTCATCTTGATAGATCACCAAGTGATAAACAGATAAACATCTTGATAGATCAAGAGCTTCTTTTTATCTTGATAGATCACCAAACATAATGAGGTTTCAATAAACTTCAGTTAGTAGATTTGATACAATCCACAGAATATTATTCAAATCTCATGCCATGTTTTTTTTTTTCTTGAATATTTCTCCAGTTAGATTTATTAGACCAGTGGTGATGACAGTTCTTTGCAAGTACAACTAAGCCAAAAAAAAAAAAAAATAAAAGAAAGAAAAACAACCTGTATTGTTTGAGTTCAATAATTCATACAGGATATCATTGTCAGTTTTTGTGAACTATTTTCATCTACAACTAAAACTGTAATGAATTAAAGATTGAATTTATAAAAAAAATTCTTAGTTAATTTAATGAAGTAATAGTGAAAGGGGAGGCACAGTAGAGTAATGGATAGTGGCTCAGACTGAGGAATTGGAGAGCCAAGTTCAAATTCCAGTCAAATCCATTACATTCACTTACATGCTAATACTCTTGGGAAAGGTTTGAATCCTCTTCTTCTCCCCCCCCCCCACAGCTATGGGTAAATAGCAGGACAGACCAAGTTCTATAGCCTTGGATGGCAACTGGTCTACTGCAAAAAGAAATGGTAACCTTGTATCGAAAGATACATGATCACCTAAGCGTGTTTCACACATGGCACATAACTGACTGACTGAATAGTGAAAGATCTGTTTATTTGGTTTCAGGCCCTTTGGCTATATCAAATTGAAACACCAGTACTTGTATGATCACCAAAGTTAAGCAACATCAAGCTTGGTCAGTACCTAGATGGATGACCACTTGGGAATACCAGGTGCTGTAAGTTTAGATGTGCGGATGGTATAAAGAACTTACCACCATATTATATTTAAACACCAGTTCTCATATGGTCACCAAAGTTAAGCAATGTTGAGCTTGGTCAATATCTATGTGGGTGACCGTTTGGGAATACCAGGTGCTGTAAGTTCGGATGAGTTGGTTGGGTAATAGATAACAGCTCAGAATTGTAGATCGGAGAGACAAATTCCAATTTCAGTTGAGTTTGTTCTATTTACTTATGCCCAAATGCCCTTGGAAAAAATATGAATCCACCTCTTCTCCCCCTAGCTATGGGTTAATTAGTAGAATTTGTACCAGTAAAAATCATTTCAAGACTTATTGATCAGTAGATATCAGGAGTGTTAATAGTAAACAGGTCATTTTGAAAAACCATAAAGTGTGAAACAATAGTGTTAATGGATAAATACTAATGTTGTTTTTATGTGTACTAAAAATCTCTTTGAAAATTATTTAAAATGAAGCATTATTAAATGTGTAAGAAAAGAAACAAAGAAATAATATGTATAATAAAATAAAAATAATAACAGTATAAAACAATACCAAGATGACTATCAAACAACTGCTTGCCACCATTAGAAATGTTATTGTTAATAACCCCATCATTTTAAAAAAAATCTAATCATCAACAATGTCTTAAGTTAATGGAGGCTCTTTATATAAAACAATTCAAGCCAACCTTTAGTCTTACCTTATTTAACAATGGTAGTAACATGTTGGCAATCTTTTAAAAGATACCCAACATGGAATGACAACCAGATTTCTTCTCGAATGGTTTAGAATTTCTACTTCCACACTTTATGGCTTAGAACATAAGCATTGTAAACATATTAAAAATGAACCTCTTGAAAATGGCTAAGGAACTGCCTGAATGCACTTGAGACAATGATCATTACAGTTTCTAAACTCACTAGACGCCCCCTGGCCAAAGGAAAACTGAAAAAAAAAAACAGTAAGATTTCTTTATCTTTCACATTCAGTGAAACATCTATAAAAGAAATGTTCTTACACTATATATATATATATATATATATATATATATATATATATATATATATATATATGACGGATCAAATATAGATGATATATAGATCAGAATCCACCAGAATGATAGGATAAAGGACAAATAGAAAACATTTGTCAACCTAATATGTTTCACGTTGAAGATTTCAATAAAAGCAAAGCATGTTAGATTCATAAAGGGTTCCTATTTGTTCTTTATTTTATCTACCTATCTCAGTCTGTTCATATCTATGTATCAAACTGAAGAAATTCAACTATATATATATATATGAAGATGAAATGGAACTAATGCTTTTAATTTAATTGCAAAATTAAATTCCTGGTTTTTAGCTTCTATTTTTGAAACATGGTTGGAACTGTGTAGCGGAAAAAAACATATTTTAAATCAATTAATTTATAATATTAATGCTCTGTAAATTTACATTGAGCACTATTTTGTAAAATAAAAATATCTATAAGAACACCGATTTTATATCTTACTGTTCTTTTTTTTATTTATATATATATATATATATATATATATATATATATATTAAGAGAGAAGATGTTGTAAAACATTTTTGGTTATAATGTGGATTTTTTTATATATTATATTTTATTTTCTATATTTTTACTACATGTGTTTGGGGTCTTATCAAATTCAAAAAGTGTTGTTGCTCAGGATTAGTCCTATACCAATAGACTAATCTATAGACCTAATCCTGAACACCAACACTTTTGAATTTGACAACAAAAACTATATCAAAACTGTAGGTACCATGATGGGAATGAAAATGGCACCAACATATGCCACCCTAACCTTAGCTTACCTAGAGGAAAACTTTTATGATAAGATAGAACAAATATATGGGGAAAATCTAAAAACCCACTTCACTAAATCTTGGAAGTGATACTTAGATGATTACTTCATCTTCTGGAAATCCTCATGGGACAACATTAACCAATTACACACTACTTCAAAACTTACACTTGATGAACTGCCATTCTTAGATATACTCATCAGAAATAGAAACAACTACAGATATCTACCACAAAGATACAGACACCCAACAATATCTTCATTTCAAAAACCATTACCCAAAAAGCTGTCTAAATTCTATCCCCTATTTTCTAGCATGTAGGATTTTCATTATAGTGGCTGACAAATACCTCTGAAAAACCTGCCTAGAAGAATTACATAAAACTCTCAAAAAACAAAGTTAAACCACACCACTAATAAACAAGGGTTTTGAACTAACAGAAAAAATACCTTTAGACCAACTATGAAACCCAAAGAAATTGGACAATAAACAAATTCTAGCATACATCAACCTACAACAGGAACTATCCAGAACTATTTACAGAAATAACAAGAAATTTAGACCTACTTAACAAGAATGATAAAATGAAATATATACTAAAAACAACCAAAATAATTAAAAGCAAGCGCCAATCAAAAAACCTAAAACACATTAACCTCATCCAGATTCGATCACCACACAATACAATGGGTCACAAAATGCAATAAGAAAAGATGTGGAGTTTGTGATATCATTATAGAAGGAAACTCCTACACTTTTGAAAACCTCACAACAACATTCACAATAAACAAAATTTAAACCATAATTCCAAAAATGTGATTTATGCATTCAGGTGCACAAAATGTAACAAATATAACTCAAGCACTAAACAAAAGAGTTTCCCTACACAAAAGCAATATTAAATTGCCAGACAACAGAAAACTATTTGTGTCACAACACATCCACAAATGCAAGTAAGGTAAATCTGCAATCATGCCAATATATCAAACAGATGATTACTCTTAATTACAAGTACAAGAAAAATCTTCATAGACAAATTCAAACCAGCACTAAATAAAGCAAATCAACTCATCTTAAGCAAGGTGATAATGCCACTAAGATGCAAGGGGGCTACTGAGAGTGAGAGAGAATGAAAAATCTTTTACAAGGAATCAGAAACTCAATCATAAACAGGGACAAACCTCAACTCCTGTTCAAAAGGCTGGAGGGAAGTGTGAACTGGATGATAGGCAAACTTATCAACTCCTATTGAGGCGAAAAAAAAATTATTAGATAAAATTTCAGAATTCAGATGGAGACATTGGGTGTAAAGTAGACTTTAGAAGGAACCGGAAATCCAATCTGAAACAGAAAACAAACAGAAAACTGCTTCTGTTCAAAAATGGACATAAAAATATAAAAATCAACACTATATGTTGACTGGTAGTTTTACACAATAAATAATCATCAGACCATCCTCAGATTTGATGATCACTTAAGAAGTGATAAAACTGGCATTCACATGATGTGTTTATCTCTTTCCATACAGTTCTTATCATCCCTGATATTGATTACATTTCCCCAATAAATATACTAAATTTAATTATAATTGAATATGTAATATCTGTCCATACAATCTTCCCAAAAACCTGACCATTCATCTGAATTTTTATTTGTATATTTGTTGTTGTCTTTACAAATGCTTCCTTATTATGTACAATTTTAAAAAGTTACTTTCCTCAATAATATAATAATATATAATATTATATCTATAATATATATAGATACCTGAATTTGGTTGTAAAATATAACATTTTTAAACTTATATGGTTGCTGCCAACATGGAAATATTATGCCGATTATGTTTTGTCAACGTTCAAATCTTAATTCCGCGTCATAAGCTATGGGAGATAACTCTGATTTAATTTAATACAGTTATTTCCCCTTAGCTGTTTCATTGTTGAATTCAAAAAAGGTTTGCCGAAGTATTCCAATTTATTAAGAAATAAATAATGTGAAATTTTAATATTGATTATGAAAAACATTTTTGGTTCTAGTTAGGGGAATATGGACATTAATTTCTTGGCAAGTTTTATTTTCATTTTATTTATTTTTTTGGTCGTATCCCTTTTTTTTTCTACAACTTGAATCGTATGAAAATAAACACCAGTAAAAAAAAAAAAAAAAAAAAATATTAAAAAATTAATTTAATAGAAAATAATTCCTAATTAAGCCGATTATAAAAAAAAGTATGTCCATCCGAATTTGATCTTTTTTGTACAATAATGTTCACTTCATTCAAGACCTAAAAGCCACTTCAGAGAGAGGATTAGAGAGTAAGATATAAGAGGCACAGTTTTAGTTTACGAGGAAGATACCTAGAGAGTTACAGAAGACTAAACTTCAGACTTAACCTGCAACTCTCTAGGGTTCAGTCACTGAAGTGATTGAGGAAGCATCCACTTTGTCGAAAAGTTATCAACCCCCAAAAAATTAAACACTGGTCAGGTCGAGGAAAAGAAGCAATAGCACTTACCTTAAGTTGCGAAATAAAATTCCTTTCCGCGATGAAATGTAACTGTCTGATAACTTGCATAAATTGAATGCAAAAAAGGTGGAGGAATACATTTTCTCTCTCTTATTTCACTGATCATGTGGTAACAAAGTCACATAACCCATGTATATAAGAAGTTAGTAAAAAAAATAACAACAACTTTTAAGTTAGTAAGCATCAAACAACCGAAGGTAAGTACATTGCTCTTCTCCCGCCTGAACATTCATATACTCCACCACAAACAGCAGTACTTGGGAAGAAGCTGCTTGAGTGGAACTTACATCTCACCAATGAAATACGAAAGGAATGAGGGTGGCTCGCTACAATGTCCGTGGAAAGTGGTGGTGATGATTCCATGAAAATAGTGATAGCGAGATTTCGTCTGTGGGAAAGGGGGTTGAAGGGTGGAAAATAATACATCATCCACAAGGCCGCGTCGATGCTTTTAGATTCTAGCAAGAGTGGAAAATGAAAACTGGGCAGCTGCTACCCATATATGGTAGCAGAATTCCATTTTCGGTCTGATCTGGCTTTTGTTAAAATGTAAAGGCAGGGGGGGAATGCAAGAGGAATCAGCTGACCGTTTTCCAAGCATCCAGCGATAGATCGTATGTACGAATTCTATTTGAGGTCTGGATTGGGCTTCGCTTAAGTCTCAATGTAGACGCTTAAGACAGTCTTACTGAGAGAACACTCATTCAAGGCCTTCTTGGTGATGTCGAAACATCAATAGTTTATTTTTCGAGGCATTGAATCCAATATATAACCAGA